TTTCTTTTTCTCCCATCAAAATGTAGCGTTCCAATCAGTTGTAATTTTTCATCTCATGAACAAACAAAAATTGGGTTGTCGAGGGTTCAACTAAGGTGGAAGTGTGCAAAGGATAAAATTAAGGATTAAATTAAGATGGAAGTGTATGAAAAGGCTCGAACAGTACCTAAATTTTCAAATTAAATTTTTGAAACGTCTATAAGCGCTGATAGCAACGAAAGGGTTACCTGTGATAGAAAAGTTCATTTAGAGGACAAAGGGAGCACAAAGTATGTATCGAAAATATGTCAAGGTCTGTTCAATTAATCAAAATTCTATATTTTTCTAACGAATCTTTGAAATTTTTTGTGTTTAAATCATTTTTTAAATTACCCCTCGGTATCTTCATTTAAATAGTGCTCTTTGAAATTTTTAACTTCTAATTCGTTTCTTCGTATTGGCAATTTTTAAATTACTCCGTGGTATTTACTTTTTTTTTCTGTTACTTTTCGAACGGTACACGAAAAGAATGCACGTACTGTATAATACAGTATGTATTCCAGCGTAGAAAAGTAGAGTTAATTTTGGATGAAACCGAATGAATGATTCCAAGAATCGTGCGCATTTTTTCGGGATATTTTTATGCAAATTTCGCGGCTTTTGAAAATTCAATATTTTATCATATCAACGTGCAGCATGCGTGCATCTTGCAACAGTGCTCTATGCTGAATTTCATACTCCGTACGTCGACCTTATTACCATACATGTTTTCTAATTGCTTGCTGGAGAGAACTAAATTCGGGGGGAACCACGATGGATATCATGTTTCGTTCCTCAAAATTATACAACCTTCCCGGCAATTATCGTTTCGAAATTAATTAAGGATAACATACGTGTCTACGAAAATTAACACACTTTCTGTAAATACATCGAGATTTAATACGTAGCTGTATACCTGGTTCACGATAGAACCGAATGTGTTCTTTCATTTTTCCTTGGAAAATATGTAAAACGAGATTGGCATAAACCGTGGTAGCTTAGAGCGCAGAAATTTTTTCGAAATGATACGAAGGAGTAGCAAAATTGAATTAAAACCAAGAAAATATTCGAAAGAAACCAAGAAAAGTATGCTTAATCGAGGAAGGAAAGATTTTTCATTTCGATCGAAATCGGTTTTTTTTCTCTTTCTTTTTTCTCTCTTTTGAAAATTGACGGTCGAAACGAAACGAAGAAAGATATGCTTAATCAAGGAAGGAAAGATTTTTCATTTCGATTAGACGAGATAGAAGTCGGTTTTTTTTCTTTCTTTCTTTTCTTGAAAATTGACGGTCGATTTCAGAAATCACAGACACACGCGCGAAGACCTTTGGTAATACAGATCCTGAGCATCACACGCTCTTCTGCTGATGAATAATGCAGTAGACAACTCGGCATCGCTCGGTATGACATTCTGAAAAAATATTACGGTAACATATTCGTACACGTTTTTCATTGCAGATGTTAAAATATAAAAAGCGTGTAATGTAGGTCGCGTGCTCTTGCCAATACCTTTTTACATGCGATTTCTATTTCGGGGTCATCTGAAAAAACAAAAGCTGCAATCACCGAAATGGAAAATCTCAGGCGAAACGAAAAGAATATTTCTCTTCGGTTGACTTTGAAATTCTGCAAAATTGCTTCTGGGATCACGTTCTCTGATGGAACACAAACACGTGCGCCGTCAGAAGACCTTTCGAAAACATCAGGTTCGAAAATGGAAAACACGACGCGAAGCCGGGACCGATGAACCTTTTTTTTTCTCTCTCTCTCTCTCTTAAATTTCAATTTCAATCCGATCTTTAGATCGAACAGCCGCGCGTTCCATACCGAGTACTGAGATAATCGATAACAATTAGCCGGCGGAATCGACGATAGTTTGTGGATTAAAGCAAAAACGCGGAATTATGATATTAGAATGAAATTTCCCGTCAAACGGAATATTCGCGGAATCCTTGTTACGACCATGAAACCTTTCCATTACTTGTAATTTCGCGAAAGCTATGAAAAGTAAAATTGTTCGAGTAAAACGACCAAGGGCTAATTAATTCAACGTAGATGATATTAAAAATTTTCTGAAGCTTTCAGAATTAATGTATATGATTTACGTGAAATTAAGAACGAAGCTTAAACCGGCTTCCGTTCTTAACGTCTCCGTAAAGGGAGAAGGAAATGAAACGAAACCCACAAGATAACGTAGAGTAATGTCTGATTATCTTCGAGAATTACAAGTTCAACTCGAATCGAATAACTAAACGTGCTTAACTAGAATTCGTTGAATATACAAGCTGGGCCATGTAAAACAGGTAACCTAATCATCTTCTCCAGCTGTGATGACAGGAGAAAATTTTTATAGACAGTTTAAATGGTATCAAAGGGCGAATAACGTGGAAGAAACATTTTTTTGATGGAAAAAATTGCAAAAAAGGAAAAGAAGTTTCATAATTAATTAAAAATTTTGAAGTCGTTATTATGCATGTTCAAATGGACGTCAGTGTCTGATAGATTACCATAGTTTAAGCCTACACTTATCTTTATATAAAGATTCCAGATTTAATAAATTTAAAATGTTCTATTTAACTCTAACTATTAAATGTGTCATCTACAAATTTATGAGCTTGGCCGCTGCAACGTACAGTAGAAAAAAAAAAAATAGGTAATCTTGAGGAAAACAGAAAAAAATTTTCTTCCAACTTTGAAACAATTGAAATTACCCTGAAGATCCACCCTGTATATTTCACGCAGAAGTATGATCCTTGAAAATCGGAAAAAGGAAGGGTTAAGCGAAGAAATTATTCAGAGGCATGAAATCGTCTGTAAGAAATCATTCAGAACCCGGAAACGAATTTTCGTTCCACAGATCAGATCGGTGAATTGATATCCTGGTCTGTGCTTTCTGCAGATTCAAAGGTTAATCCCGCGGAACCGAATTATTCGCGAGCTTGGGTGCTTGAACGCTCGGCAAATGTTCGAGTTTATTACTTTGAAAATCCGGTTTCATCCGTCTCCCGGGTAAAATGCGCGCCAATAAAATTACGATCGATCGTAGGTGATCCTCGGCGGGGGAAGGCGTCATTTCGTGCCGAAAGTGATCCAAGATCCGGAGGAACCGGATAAGGAGGGCAGACGATTGGACGGAAGAAATCTGATCGAGGAATGGTCGAGGAACCATCGACTGCGGAACGTGCCCGCGAAATACGTCGCTAACAAGGAGCAGTTTGAGAACGTCGATCCACGGAAAGTGAACCATCTGCTGGGTAACGAACACAAACACGTTTCTAAATATCTACGTGCAGATTTGGGAGCTTTGAAGGGTGGAGGGAGGAAGCGACGAATTTGAAAGAAAAGTAACGACACTAGTGAACGTTCATAAGTATCGAGACACCCTTGCCCATAAGTCATGGGACACCTGCTAATTTGAGGTTTACGTTTAAATCGACACCGTTCAACACCCGTGTTTTATTAAATCATACGATTATTTACAGATTATTCGCACCAGATGTAGTTTTTTGATGTTAAAATATATTGAAAATTGTGTATACAAAGTTTTCAATTTTCTTGTCAGTGTACGCTCCTCGTTTCGCGATTAAAGTTTTTTAGGAAATTCCAGACCGACACAGTTTCTTCTGGATCCTAATAATTTTGTAACGACTATTCAGGTTTGCTTCGCATTTAACAAGTGTCCTAATACTTACGACGTGTACATGCCCCTGTTGATTATCAATTTAGCAAATTTTTAGAAGTAATTAGCAAAATCATTTTTCTGTTGTTGCAAGTCTATAATCGTGAATGAAGATACTAGTTTTTGGATTAAATAGAAACAGTAGAAGTTAATTCCACTGTCATTTCATATATTTGGTATCTTCTCTAGAAGTAATTGTTAACAGTCAAGCTATATAAATTCTTTCAAGCTGTTCTATATTTATTTGAAAGTTTTTCGCATCACTTAGAAGTTACTAATTTACAATAGATTACTTGGTATAAGACTTGAAGGGAAATAGTTGTTGGAACATGCGGATGAAATGTGAAAACGTAACATTTGCTGTCATGGGACAGTGCTGATTGAATAACAGGTTGTACGCATATTACCCTTGGATAATTATCGATTGTGCGTGATTGGTGCGTTAATCCTTGAATGCAGTTAGCTCTTAGTTAGTCCGCCTTAATTATGATCGGCGTAACGTTTGAATTTCAGATTACACACGGCCTATCGATCAGAACTGTTGATTTAAGATTTGCAAATAAAGAGCGTTATTGCTTGACAGATTAAATACCTTAACCCTTCGAGTGCTCACTAAAATGTGGTAAAAATGTGGAAAGTTGTTTTATGACTGCAATTACTTGCGCACAATGTGGAAATATGTTTTTATTTTTTCTTATATAATTTTTGATAATTTGAACGAACTATGAATGCATCCATTTCCTGACTTTTGCAATATTATATCATATATGAACCTCTGACAAAGTAAATTTCAAATACTCAGGGTTACCCATACGACGTATAGACTTAACACTCAAAGGGTTGAACTTTCATTCAAATCACGAAACGATAAACAGTCGATACCAGAATTTTTAACTTCACTTTTACGCTAGGACTATATTATTCTAAAAAAAAAATCCTTTATATGTATTTCTTTCAAGTTTCTTCCAAATTTTAATTATTGTAACATACTGATCGTTATTCACCAACAGACTTAAACTAAGAAAAATTGTCACAGCAAAGCTCGTGAATTTAAAAAGAAAATGTATCTCATTTGAATTCACAAAATCAGTAAAAAATATTTCCAACATCATTCCATGCCATCAACACCTAAAATGCATACGGTACCTTTAACATTTCCCTCGCAATCACGCGGCACAGCCTTGTACCATTGCGAGAAATTCTATAACGTTCGCGCTCAAGGGTAGTATATTTCCGAACTCGATCATCCATAGTAGAAAATCGATAAAAGTTACCCTTCTGGAATCTCCATGAGTCACCGTTTCACGGCTTTCGATGATTTCAGGGCTGTTTTCCTATTCCCACATGGACTTCGACGTGGACCGAAACACGAACGGAAGCGGCGACCCCTCGTTGGCCGAAATGACGATAAAAGCGCTCCGCATACTGGCGAAAAATCCCGAAGGATATTTCCTCTTCGTCGAAGGTACGTAAAAAAAAAAAAAATGAACAAAAGAGACGACGCGTACGTCTTGAACTTCACGAAGGCGTATTGTCACAATGATTCACCGGTAACATTTCGTTTCTCTATACTCGTGTTCACGAAAAGAAAGAAAAAAAGGGGGGGAAACGGAACTGTTATCAGAATGTGTGGCGGTATTGTTGTTGAAGACAACGAGTTATCGTGACCAACTGGCTAGCATCGAGCGTTTCCCTTCGCTATGTTATCTCTTTCTGCCAGGAACCACTTATCTGTCCCGTTTGCGGTTCTTGATCCGAATCCTTTATTTACACTTTTTCACACGATTCCCGCGATTATTCTTTCGTAGCCGTGTGGATTTTGGTAGGTAAAAATATCACCTGTTAAGTGTGTACACCTATCCCCCGATTTACACGGTACTTTATTTACACGGTTTTCAAAGTAACGGCTTTTCAGAAATATAAACTGTTAATAAAAACTGTGCACCGTTCGTTTGTTAACACTGGCATTAAACGAAAAAATGAACGGAATTTCCCCCTTTTTTGCACACAAAAAGCATTCATATTGTAACGTAAAGTTTGCTGCCGCCGCGGATCTTTCATTGGCGACCGGCTATTTTCGCCTTCGTCGATCGCTCGCTCGAAACTAAACCCTGACCCTGAATATTTTTTTGTTTTTCATTTTTACTTTATTTTTATTTTACATTTAAAATAATGAATCTAATTAAATCACTGACTAAATTATGCGCATTTTGTTTTTCCCCCGATTTACACGGTTTCTCGTACAAAAAAGCCATGATTTCGATTTGCACGGTATTCTGAGGAACCGGTCATCCGTGTAAATCGGGGGACAGGTGAATTATAATATTTTCAGTGTGGCAGTGTAAGGGTAAATAAAAATTTCGTAATTGAACGACTAATTTTTGTTTATTCGATGAAATAGAAAATAACAGTTGAAAATTGAGTAAAATCAATATTTACCTTGTATTTAAAATTTGATCAAATCTTTATTTTCTCTGAGTACAATACAAGGGTAAATTAAAATTTCGTAACTGTATGACTATTTTTCAGCTATTCCATGGAATAGAAAATAATGGATACAAATTAAATTCAATATTTGTGTTGGATTTAAAATTTGGTCGGATCTTTTTTTCTCACAGAAGATTCAATCTATTTTTCGCAGTTCATACACGAAAATAAGTATCAAACTAATTTTCATACATCAGTTTCTGAAAGTTTGCCATGAAACTTTCCGACATACCATTACAAACTTCGCTCAAAAAGCCTCTAACCTGATGTAAATTTTCTAACCGAAATTACTCGTCGAATGTTCCTTTTTTTCGTTCGAAGCTTAAACAACCTATTACCACATTCAATAACTGTCGAGCATTGGAAAAGGAGACAGGTAGAAATTGCCTGTACGCTTTTTATCGACACTCCAGAGATACAGAAAAATCTTTCGTATAATGGATGCAGAAGCGGATTGGGGGAAAAATCGATGGCACTTATTTTTCGTTACTTTCGCGAGAAATCCATAATCGGGGCCGCGCGTGGCTGCGTAATTCAAATCCCTCGGTGGCGGAATACGATTGAGCTAATGCTCTGGAGAGTGTTCCTTTTGTGAATAGGGAAACGCGAGTTTCCTGCACGAAGATTGAGTCAGCGTTCTCTGCTTTATCGAGTTTATAGCTTCCCGCCCACTGGTAACCAGTATGTACGAGTACATCTCACGTTCTTTCGCCGTCGGAAAAGGCGTTTCCCAACTCGTACGGAGATACATTTTTTTTTCTCCCTCTTTTCTTTCGCCCAAGGGAGGAACCGCTGATTTAGACGTTTGCGTGATCGTTGACCTGTACCTGGTATATTTCGACACGCTTGCCGATAGAATAATGATTGCCCCTTTGCTGTTTCACCGTTAAAATAGAAACTTAGTTCTCGTTCGAAGGGAGAGAACGAATGGATGAAAGGAAATGGCAGTGTAAACGGTTAAAATGGAAAGCTGGTGAAAATGAATAAATTGTTGGATTTTCATGGTTGATTTGTACGAAAACGCATGCTGCCTTTGATTAACACGGAATTCAGGTCAACCATGCGAAAATATTCACGCTCTGTTGAAAAGAGAAAAACTAGAGTTTGCGTAATTTTCATATGTTGTTTTTTCTTTTCCTTTTTTACCAATTGTAGGAAAGTATTTAAAACCGATCGATTGTGAAGTGTGCGGATGAATGAGTTATGTGAGTTGGCTATGAACAGTTCGAATATTGATATTCGAAAAGGAAGTTAAGCACGTCAGAGTGAAAAGACGTGTAAATAAGAAAAGCATTGTTAATTAAGATTCTTGATTTGTTTGCTGCATCCAGTGCTCTTTGTCACTGTTTCACGCGGTCGAATTCTGATCGCACGGTCTAATTTCTGTTCCTCGTAAACTAATCAACCTTTGTGCAAATGGACTTTGATTAATTATCTTGTGTGAAATCAAACAATTTCGCTGGGAATGTACAGTTACTCCCTAAAATATTTGGACACTGTATAAGCTTGCCTTTCTAGTGATGTGTTTCGGTTAATTATGACAGAATTTGGTTGCTGCTTTCTCGTTAGAAAAAGTCATTCACTGTACTTTAGGTTTAAGTATTATTAGTTCAACGCATTTTTGTATACGACGTATTCACGTGTTCGGTTCTTGAGATCGAACAGCCAAGATAACGTAACATTTCTCGGGGATAATGTTATCTTTCATTTTTAATTTTCTACGATATTTGCTCGATAAGTTCGTCCTTTTTAAATTGATTGTCTGTATCAAAGCCTCTGTTCATTTCTCAACGTAGGAAATACTACGAAAGTCAATTTACCATTTGTTTGAACCATCATGAATTGTGTTAGGACCATACACAGGGTAAGCTTATGACGCGAACGTCGAAAAATTTTGAAACTTTTGAAAAATATTGATTTAAGAGTTCGTTTATTGAATAAGAGATTTTAGAATTGCCTTGTGGACAAAGAAGTCCCTACTCTTGCTGATTCCACAAATCGCCAGATGTGAGGCATAGTCTTCGCTTCTTCGCTCTCGATTATAATAAATCAAGCTACTGACGTGTTGTGAAGTTTTCACTTAACTAACCTGACCTCTCAAAGGTATGGAATTGCCTTGTGGACAAAGAAGTCCCTACTCTTGCTGATTCCACAAATCGCCAGATGTGAGGCCATAGTCTTCGCTTCTTCGCTCTCGATTATAATAAATCAAGCTACTGACGTGTTGTAAAGTTTTCACTTAACTAACCTGACCTCTCAAAGGTATTTCACGAAAAAGTCTCACGATGTCTAAAGACAACTCTCCGAGTGTTTTCATATTGCTGATTCGTGCGCACAGCGATCTCCCAGCTGCGACTTAAATATCAATAAGGAAGCAGAGAAGCGGCAGGGAGAGTCCCAAGTCTTATCCACTTTCCTCTGTTCAGACATCTCCACAAACTTACGCTTGTATTTTACACCGTTTTACACTGTTGTAGATTTTCTGAAAATTTTCCCTGCAGTCATTTCATATCAACCCTAGTGCGTTCTTCCATTCGACTGTACACTTGACTTAACTTATGTGAAACTAACTGTGTATAAACTTGGTAAAGCAAAAGATATTAAAAAAATAAGAAGACCTAGGGGTAATCTTATCAAATTGATCTCATGCTGGTAAAAGAAAAAGACACCAAGGAGAATCCCAAATGTGATTTTCGTATGTTTAGAATTCAGTGTGCGATTCGCATATTGAAAGATAAGATGATGGGCTAATCGTGTCTGCTGTAGTTCTAATACCATTCGCGATTCGAACGGACAGTTTATGTATTATACGCTATCTTCCTGAAGAAAAAATTCACCAAGTTATCAGACAAATAGCGATAACTACATACTTCTTGCATTCCGCTAGAATTGCGTATCTTAAAACTGAGCGGCTAATTCTTTCCGCTATCAGGTTAGTCGATCGTTAGCAAATATCGTTGTCAGTTCTACGAACGTTGCAAAGACATTATGTAGTACATATATATATATATACATCTTGTAGTGTATTATCCAAGGTGTTCTTTGACGGACAGTTTATAAAGTCATTCTGAGTAAAATTTTATTTAACATTTTACCACTGTTATGTGTTATCTTTCATACACAAACATGTTTGTTTACACTCCGCAGACAAACTGGGTCGTTTGTGTCCAAGTCTAATTTGTTTACTGTTTTAAACTTGCACAAGGTCTGAAAAAATTCTGCAGTACCTGTCGAGGTCTCTGCTACATTATACAACTATTCGTTATGTTAAATGTTTCAAACCTTTTTCGACAAAAATAAAAATTCGTTTTGAAGAAATAGGAAATTTCACTTGGGTCGTCAAAGACCCAGATTACATACGCAGGGTTGAAAATAGAATCTTCATTCATGCAACGTTCTTTGCTCAGAGTGACCTCGAAAAGAAATTTGTCCACTATTTTTCTGAGTCGTTCTATGGAGAATGAGAGCAAAGCGGTGCAGTCTCTGTAGAATCTGCATCATTGTCATAATCAGTTCCAGCGTGTTGTTGCATTATGAAACGTTAGCAAGACCATACTTCCGTTATAGTTCGACAGAGGATCGCTCCCTTAGACTGCCGCCTTGTTATCGACGTCGAAATCAAGGTATTTTCCCGCAGTGCGCCAACTGTTGCTCTTCGTTGGAAAATGCATTTCACCGCTGACAAATTTTGGCATTATATGCCGACCTCGTTGTCAGTCGAACGCATCGAAGATATCACTTTCCTGCCGAGAGTCTGCTAAGATTCGAGCCAACCTGATTTTCCAATTTCCCCCGACTTTCACGCTGCTTCATGAGACGACCATATGTCTCCTCTTGCAAATTCGAGACCAGAAATTGCTGCCTGATTTGTGCTAGTTTGTTCTACTTTTTTTTTTTAAAGTTTACGATGATTCGAGTAATTGGTATATTTTTCAAATTGTTTAATTTCAATCTTGTTTGGTAACTGTTTTCATACTG